AGGATAAAAATGAAGCGAGGTTCGACGAGCGGGCAGACCTGGGAAGTGGACGTCGGCAAAGAATGGGTCTCAAATGAACACCAGGCTACCGGGAAGCAAGTGACTAGCGATCCTCTTGAGAAAAATAAAACGAGGAACACCGCCCGACCGTGGTGGGTGGCCCTGGAAACATTACAGGAATTGGAAGACTGCCTGAGAAAGCTCGACAGTGGAGTGTCACGCAAACGACGCAACTGGGCTACCCAGCAGAAGGCTGGTATCAATAAATTGGAATTGGGGAGCCAACTGAAGAGAACTTGGCAGAACTTGTTAAAGGATCATTTTGAAGAAGCGATGAGAACATCCTCATCGGCATCACCGTTGATGGCGAATCCCTTTATTAGGACCGCAGGACAACTGATGTTCGCGTGGAGCCTGTTGGGAATAGAGTTAGAGACTCTAAATTCGTACGATAAGTTGGAATTGGGAGGCAAGAATCTAGAGGTGTATCGAGTAATGGTGCAGCACGTTGCTAGGGATAACTCAGGCTTGAGTCTGGCAAGGAGGAAGGATGCTACCTGTTTCTTGAGATGGACAATGTCGATGATGACTGACAGTACCATCCTAGCATGTCACCAGAGAGCAATTGGAAGCAAGACGCTGGAAAGGAGAGTCTCCACAGTCATCTTGAATGTGTACCAGAGTACTGGGATAGAAAAGGAAGATGGTTCTAGGCAATCTCTAGAGAGCCACAGGAAGTTAGATGAGATACGGAGATTCTACAACAAGAAGTTCGAGGAGAAGCACGACGTTCACCGTAACTTGGCTATTTCAGGAGAGTACTTGAAACCCAACAAGAAGGGAGAGTATCAGTATGTGTCTGGAGTGATGGGGATGGCATACAACCCTTTCTTAGACTTAGAAGCTGGAGGTGCCCATAGAAACTATGAGGTGGCGGAGCTGCTGAAGTTCTGGACAGAGAGGATAATGGAGATAGACCCTGTGGAAAGAGAGAGACCTAGTCTAGGTTTGATTCTCGAGAGAACACCGGAAGTAATAAGTGTGCCTCGCTCAAGTAAAAGAGTAGAACTAAAAATGGGTAACGGGAACGGCATGTTGACCACGAATCTGGGAGTGGTGTGGAAATTGCTCAGGCCCTCCTGGTGTCCACATCCCCATGCGAGCCTGATCGAGGAAGTCACTGAGCGAGTGAGATTGGCGCCGACAGAGGATGAAGATTTAGCGACCTTGAGTATAGTACATAGACTGATCCTGCCTCATATGAAGGAGTCAAGTGAGATGACGAGTGGAACAGGGTCGGTAAAGAAGATGGAGCCGGGCAGTTGTCTTGACACGACGTGTGGGAATGGCGAGCACACCTGTGATGGACGATCGTGCGTCAGGATACAGTCTTTCCAGAAATAAGACTTAGTCACCTGATTTGAAGATATCACCGAAAGGGAGAAAAGTGAGATACAGATAGTGGCTGAGTGTTACGCGAGTACCACTGTGAACCTAGCAACAGCTCTGGGATTCTTCTCAGGAATGTGTAGTCTCCAGTCACTGGAGAGGCTAGAGTCAGAACACCACTTCGTGACCGCTTTGAGCGTGGAGTCATGGCCCGGAGTGTTGCAAGTGACCCAGAAACACATCAAGAGTTGGAAGGTTGGACTCGAAGCGGAGATGGGATTTCCCATGAGCGAAGCCTATGGACTGCCTGTAAATGCGAAGTCCCTAGTGGGGTCAGTGATGGCCAACTTATGTGGCAGCCACTATCCATTACACATGGCGATGGTAGAAGTGTTCAGCCAGAGATTATTGGTAGACAAAGCCTTCTCAGTGCCCAAATGTGTACGACTAGCTCGGATGTCACATCATTCACACAAGCTGTTGAGGAAGGTCCGAGGAACAGTGCCTAAAGAACAAAGGGATGACTTGAGTGAAATCTGGGGTGAAGAACTTCTAGGCTTGGAGAGCGAAAATACAAGTGACCTCGAGAGACAAAACGTGATAGGGAACCCATGGTAGGTGCCCCAAACTTGGGAGAAGTCGACGTGATACACGAGAAGATGATGGAACTTGAGCCTCTCCTGGAAGCCTCGGGAGAACGCAATCTTAGGAGCACCGACCTCACACACGGGGATTGTCCATGTCACTGTCTGGCGCAGACAGTGTGGTACCCAGACCAAGCCAATCTCTGCCTGATCTGGGATGTAGAAGAAATCAGGTCGTTGGGATTACCCGAGCATCAACAAAAAGTTACCATCTTGGTGGTGAGCACAATGCTGGCTCTACGATGGATGGAAGAAAACATAGCAAAGTATCGAGAATCGAAGACGCCAACAGCAGAGTCGATTCACGCGATAGATCACAGCAGGAGACTTGAGTTGTTCGAGACAGCATGCAAGGTGTTCGCCATACCAATGGAAGTCAGACACGTGTGGAGCCGTTTGAGATTCTTTCCTTGGTTTCGCGCGACGTTAACATCCTGGTTATATGTAGCGACGAAGGATCACATGAGGAAACATCAAAAGGAATATCGACAATTCCAGGCCGAGATAGGACCAGATGCCTTCAAGAGACCTCTGCTGAGCCATCGAAATGCGATCATGACGGGGTGGAAAAGAGTAGGTAGAGTATCCAGAGACAACACTAGAGCGAGGGAGTCAATACTGGAGGAGGACCTGGCGAAGAATGTAAGCCTGAGTCTTCACAATTCCTTCTGTTTGAACCGGGAGTCGAAGGTGAAGAGCTTACCGAATCAAGCGAAGAGATTGCAAGAGCAAAGGGAGTGGATGCGATCCTATGAACAGCTGAAGGCTTGGGAGGAGATTGTGATCAGCTCCGATGACGAAGAAGCACTATTGGAACAGATCACAGTGTCAAAAGTATCTGGATCGGGTACATCGAGGGCGAAGAACACAAGGTGAGCCAGTGGCTCAAAAGGAAAATTCTAGAGTCTTGAGTCTTGAGAGGGAGGGGGCTCGAGGGTGAACTCGGATGAAATCTGGGTTCACGAAAAAGAAATTTTAACAAATAAGATATTGTTATTAATATGCTAGATCTATTATATAAATCAAAATGCTGCATGACAATTTCCTGATTGAATAGGACAAAAGAAATTTTAAATCACCAGCTTAAAAAGCGGGAATTCATAGGTGCAGGTGTGTGCGGATTTTGATTGCTGTTTAGCGATAGTGTGAAAATTTTATATGGTCGTGAATTTTGGAAGGTAGATAAACTTAAGTCTGCTGCAAACTTCTGTAAATGACCACTGGCACTGTATCTTGAGTGACACTCGGGCTTCTGGGGATTCACTGACAAAGACAGCACGCGATGAGGACATCGATCTTGAGTCCGGGGAGTATGTGCCAGTCGGTCATGTCTGGAAGTTTGACCTTGAGAGACACGAAAATACGTAATTTTGGAGTGAAGTTTTAATTTTCGAAATTTCGAATGGAGCCTGTCATGCTCAGTTTTCTCGTACCAACTGAAAACAAAAAGTGAAAAATCAGAACATCCGAGTTTACAATTGCGGGAAAATACTCAAGAAAAACAGCAGGAAATTGCTATTCGCAATTTCCAGATATAAAATAGGACACGAGTAGAGCTGTCTTATCCCGAAATAGGAGGAGAGATAATAAAAAGAAGAGAGAACAACTATTCGGAACAAACTTGAGTGAACCTTCAATTGAAAGGTGGACAGCTTGAGTGTCCCAATGGTTCACACAAAAACTCCAATTCTAGAGCCAGAATTTAATTCTGTTACCAAAACTGACCAGTATTAAACTTATCTAGTTATATTATCTAATTCTTGAGTTGCTTACCAATTTAATTACTCCTTGTACTCGAGTGCATCAACATGTGAGTCCCTAATTTAATTTTCTCGAGTGTGTTTTATGATTGTTATGTTGAGATAAGGCGAGTTTTAGGTTGATCCATCTGAAATGGATCAAAGTTCCACTGTCCAATTAAAAGTAACTTAACGGATTGTTCCGACCCTGTTTTTAACGGCGTTTATGTATTTTGGGTATTTTGAGACCTAAGTATGGGAACGTTCTTATTTTCTAGAGTGGTGGATATTTTGGTAGTAGCCTTTAAGCTGCAACGGGTTCTAGTCTCATGTCGCAAGCGAACCGAATTGGCTCCGACCGTTCTTGAGGTAGAAAAACACAAGAGATAGTGTCCCTGACTCTTGAGCCAATGGTTATAGGGCCTATTTTTCTTAAGCCTCATATGTGACTGAAGTAGGCGACTATTACA